TTTAATTCTAATTATTGTTTTATTTTTATCTTAGTTATTTTACTATTATAAGCAGGTCCACATCAGCCTTTTGGCTGCCGATTCAATATTGTTCATTCAGTCTTGTAATTATAACCCTGCTCTAACAAATAAAGGATTGATTGATTGATTGATTGATTGATTGATTGATTGATTGATTGATTGATTGATTGATTGATTGATCAGGCGTTCTTTGATGGCAGGTTAGGTACAAAATTGACGAGGGGGAAGCGCGGTGGCCTCATGGTTAGTGCGCTCGACTCCGGATCGAGTTGTCCGGGTGCGAGCACCAGCCGCGAACATTGTGTTGTGTTCTTGGGCAAGCCACTTTACTCTCACAGTGCCTCTCCCCACCCAGGTGTATAAATGGGTACTGGCGAATTTACTGTTGGCGGGAACCCTGCGATAGACTAGCATCCCATTCAGGGGGGAGTAGAAATACTCCTTGCCACTTGAAGGAGAGTTGAGGACTTTGGACCTTTTACGGAATAAGGAAAACTGTTTTATGTTTACAAACTAAAGGATATTGCTTCCTTTAATTTCTGGCAGACGAAGAAGCACAAGAAAGGAAAGGAGGCGGCTATCGCTCAGTAAGTTATTTTGTCTTTACTATGTCAAACGTTGACAACTTTACAGTGCAGTTGTCTTATTTGAAGATCATAAACAGACTTCGCTTTAGAACTTTCTTTAGTGTATTTCTTCAGAGCGGTGCCTTCGTATTCAAGCGTTGTTTGCTCTCGCTTTCTTTAAGGTTGTCTAAATCCGAAGAGGACAAGGATGAATTAAAGGCAACGCTCAGCTCTTTGAAAAAAGAGGGATGTAAAATCAACCGAACTTTGAAGGTGAGCCAGCAGAACGTGAACTTGCTTTCACGATTAGAACTTTTGGATGTAGAAGAATCTGACGCCATGCCTAATCAAAGCTGTAACTGTGGAGTTACCAAATTTACTTAAAAGAGCTACGTCATAGTTTGCGCGTCTTGAAAAGTTAAGCCTAACGTTTTCAAGTTCGTCGTTTGTAATCCTTGTTAATCTTCTCCATCCTTTACTATCCTTGGTTCTTTATGGTTTATTATTATCGTTTTGGTGTTTTACCATCTTGGTAAACGACTATTTTTAGGCTGCCTTCATTATAAAGGTAATTTTGTACGCGGCGAAAATAACTCAGGAAAACCGTGTCTGAACCCCTTTAAACTTGTTTTACATCATCATTTGTTCTTCCCGTCCGCTGTACTCACAGCTGCTCGTAAGCAAATGTCATGATGAAACAACAGTTTTGAACACTTGGAAAAAATTTTATTGAATAACTAGGAGGCAGAAAATTGTCGCGTGTACGTGTTTATGTTAAATTATGTTCCTCGCTTATACAAACTACAAAATTTGGGTTTGATTTAAGTAAGTTCATCTTGACCAAGTTCGATAACTCCTTTGTTCAATTACTAGTCGTTCACGCAAGGTGAAATGAATTCCCCTTTCTATTTTAAAAGCATTAAAGTTGATTGTTTCTTGTTATCGTTGTGTAATTTAGGAAGAGAGGAATCAAACTGAAAGGCAGACGAGGTAGGTTTCCATTTTCGTAAATCTCTTGATTTAAGAAGCTGACTAAACGGGAAATACACTCTTCCACGTTATCAATTACGCCTTTACAAGTTCGATACGGATTCACTATTCCTCATCTCTATTGACCGCTTTGAGTCACAAAGGACTTAGAAAGTTCCTTCACGTATCACTAATTGAAGCAAGATCTAAAAATGCTGATTACAGATCTTCAAAGCACTGACGAAAGAGAGGGCCATATTGGCCATGACGTCACAAACTGACCATGACGTCACATACTGGCCATGGCGTCACATGCCTGCCATGTCGTCATATAGCGGTCACACAATGGCATGATGTTGTGTGTTTTATCATACATGTACTAACATACTAACTTACTAACATCAAACTAGGAATACAAGTGGGTCAAAATCTTAAAACTGTAATGGGATATTTTATATTTCTTCACAGAAAGCTTGGTGAAGCTCAAAATGAAGTTGGTAGACTGCATAAGGAAGTTGCACAACTTCACAGTACAGTGAACAACCTTGAGAGTCAAGTTATATCTCTGAACTTTGAGAAAACGGATCTCGAAGATGATAACGTCAAACAACAACTTCACATAAAACTCCAAGGGAGAATTATTAACAAGGTGCGTGAAGAAATTTTGTTAAATTCAATTCAACAAGGGACAAAATAATAATAATAACAATAATAATAATAATAATAATAATAATAATAATAATAACAGTGATGATGATAGTACTACTAATAACAATTAACTTATATTGCGCAGATATCAATTTAACATTTTCAGCTGCGCATTACAATGTGACATAGAGCGGTTTTCAATTGAGTCTCGAAAAGTAATTGGTTTTGCATTTACTACGCTGGACGATTGGCTTGAAAAACTCGCGCCGCTTTTTCTTCTAATCTGAAGGAGAACCAAAACCAGTTGTGACTACCTCGCACGCGTTTTCCCGCTCTTTGCGTCAGCTACATATAATTACTTGGAATTGATTGGTTCATTGGATTGTCTGTGTCCTTTATGATTGGCTAGAGTGATTACTTTGGTTTGGGTTTTACGATACTCAATTAAAAAGCGCTTTAACGCTAACACAAACATGGCAACTAAAACAGTTTAACAAAACTTTGCTGTACATTCGTCTTGTTTATTAATGAACTGTATCTAATTTAGTATAAACATTTTCCTCAGTCTGTTTCATACACTTTCTTTATTTCTCTTTGGGAGAAGTTGGTCTTCTGTCAAAAAGTTCTCTCGTGGTGGTCAGACACTATTTAGTGTTCCTATATTTACTTTTTTCGTAGAACTGATTCACCCTTTTATTATTCTAGTAATTATTAAACTTTTATTTATTTCTGTCGTCTTAACTTATTTTTCATGTTTCTTTTTAAGATGACAAGCGATATGTGCTCGGTGGCAGTGTAAGTTCAAATACACTACTTGTTTCAACATGATAGTCAAGTAAAACCAACTTGTTTTAAACAATATCTTTCGAATGACTTTAAAATCGTGCTTGTGAATAAAGACGTATCGGTTAGAACCCATTAAGTCCAAAAATGAAAACAAACATTTGAATCACTACTAAATATGTTTCAAGTTATGTTTAGACGGGCGTGTTCGACAGATCTCCAAGGTTAAAGGGGCTAGGTCACAATATTTTAGTTAATTTTGTTAATTATGAGCTCTAAATGTCAAATTGGCAGAGCAAAATCACGGCCACATAACAACTGAGAGTGATTTTCCAGCTGTGTAAATAACATTTTGATATAAACTGATATAAATTTGAAAAAAGGTGGGTCGGCGTTTTTCAAATTTACCCACATGCAATCCATTTATATCCTCACCAGTTTTGCCCATCCATGTCCCTTCTTGGCTTTCCTGTGTTTTTGTTTGAGATTTTCTATAGTTTTGAGCCGTTTTTGTGATATTTTAGTTAATTCTATGACCATTTGATCAGTGCTGAAATTGCCTAAAATTGCGTAACCTAGCCCCTTTAACAAGCTTACATCAATATTTTATTTGCTGACTTGTATTCGAAACAGGAGTCCCCAGCATGAATTCATGTCCATCTAGGAAAAGGCGCATTCTAGCCCCAAGAAACGGCAGGTGTTTAGATTCCAGATTGGAATTCACGCCCCGCCTAAGTGGGGTCATTGCTCTGTTTGAGGGCCATCTCCAGGCGTATAAGTGGATAAAGTCTTGTTTTTGCTGGGGGGAGGGAGAGAGCCTGAAAAAATCTGTGGGGGTAACGCTTATCCCTTCTTAGCCTGATGAAACGGATTATTCTGTTTAAGTTGTTAGTTATGAAAGACACCATACTAAGTGTCCCTTTTTGTTATTTTTTTTCTAAACAGTAGATACGAGGAGCAGAAACTAGCTTTGGAAAGCGAGGTAGCTTTACTTCCATTCCTTGCCCATCGTTTTTGCGACTGTAAGAGAGACTGGTTTTTCTTGCTGGGTACTAATTTTTGCGATTTTCGGGAAGTCACGTTTAATTGAAATTTTAAAATAACCCGGCAACGTTTAGAGATGTAAAACACAGTAATCCAGTAATCAGTGTCAGTGTATCACAGTTACATCGTGTTCTGGTGTGGCTGATTGCTCCGGCAATGGATCAGAAATTACATTTTATCGTTTTGCTTCTGAACGAAAGAGACGTTTTAAATAAAGGACAGCAACAAGATTCTTCAAGGGATCATGTTTGTATTTATAATTTCGCCAGTGGAGTAAATTTTGCGGTGGAAATTTTTGCGGGGATTTTTTTGCAAGAACTTTTGTTTTTGCGGATCGTGGAAAAAAAAAAACGCAAAAATCGCAAAAATTAGAACCCGCAAAAATGTTAGTGCCACACGGTAGGTTTCCATGCTAGTTTACAATGTGCGTATTTAAGAATAACATTTTCCATACTTTCAAATTCTAGCTCAGTGATTACAAGCTCTCTGTGAATGATTGCAAGCTCTCCCTCGAGGAAGCTGAGACAAAGTAAGTACAGACAAACTAAGCTGACTTCTTTTCGATTCCATTACGATATAATCATGGGCCAGGACAGAAAAGCAGTTATTGAAAAAAATTGTGAAGGGCTTTTTGTGTGAGATTTACATAGCGTTTCGAAGGGTTTTAGTGGTAGCCTGACAAGCGTTTTTTCCACTAGTGATAGAATCTTAGTAATTGTAATGCTCTTTGTTCCAGCCTAAAAAATACCAAGAAGAACAACAAGCTCATTGTTAAACGCCTTAAGACTTTCAAAGCAAGGTGCAATAGGAGAGGCAAAATTATCAAGGTAAATCATATGTTTGCTGATAGACAAACGCACAATTTGTCCGTCGTCCTCCTGTCTTAAGCTTTGAACTCCGAGTAAGCCTCGTTCTCGGCTAGCTTGAAAGAGGTGATATCTAGTATGTGGCTAACACTAGACCGCAAAAAGATTTCTATCGATTCTCTGCATTGTTACTTGAAGTAATATGTGACGGCCTGTTCAGAGCATGCGTACATTTAGACCAGTTCAATTAAAGAATCCGTGCTGATGCCTCTTATCGCATGTTGTCAGTCTTCAACTCAAGTCAAAGTGTGATTGAATATAATGGGTCTGTAAAGAGAATTCACATCTTTTTAACAATTAACATCTTTTTACCTTTTTTTCAGGCTGACAAGGAAACTAAAGTAGAAATGAAAGAGTAAGTACTGACTTTAGTTTGTGGTTTTAAGTTTCAGTAGCGATTCGATATGGACACATGTGCACGTGTCACAAATTCGTAAAGTCCTTAACAATCTTCGAACTCGTCAAAATCCGCTTTTTTTTTTGTTTCCGTTGTTTTCGTATGTAGCACATTCTGTATGTCTCACGCGGGCAGATTTGCGGTGATTTTGTTTTTAAAAATTCATTTTTTGCTAATCCTATATCTGAAGAGGATATGTTTATCTCTATCACAAAGACAGAGTGTCGAGTCATTAAATATACTAACGCTACTGTTCTTATTTTTGTTATTATTATTTTTTTTTTTCAGGAAAGTCGAGACCCTTCAAAAAGAAGTAAGTAGCTTGTATAAAACTGATTATCACTATTTTTATTTTTAATCTCCGTTGGATGATGGTAGTGCGACCATCATACAAACTTGCATCGTTGATTTCATCGGGAAAAATAACCGCTGTTACGATGTGACAAATGTGACAGAATCAAACAGTGCCCTACAGGCGTAAATTTATCTTACAGCACAAAAACGACATGGGCCAAAATCGTTCTCTTCACCAGTGCTACTCGTTTTAAAATGTCCTTGCCACGTGACTAAAAGAAACGGAGGCTCTGGGAACGAGAATATGCCCAAAGCGTTGTACTCAATGTAAAATCCACCCACGGGCGAATTCCGCACAGGAATCCCACCGCGATCTATCGACCAACTAACCATAAAGAAGGAGCACATAAGCCATAAGAAGGAGCTGAAGTTTAGCCAATTCCACCCCATGAACTTTTGCGTCCCCAAGACAAATCTTTGTAGTGTTACGTCATAAGCGTGGGATTTCACGCTGCGAACCGCGATTGGGCGTGACCGTTAAGAGAAGAGAAAGTGACAAGTGATGAGAGAGAGACGAGACACGCTAATCCAGTCACAAAAATAAACTTCTCCCCAGCACATCTCAGGCAAGGAACTTTCCGATAATCTGGTTTTGAGTCAAAAAACTCATCGTTTCTCTCTATTTTTATATTTTTATATTTTTGCAGAACGAGAAACTTCGAAGCGAGCTGAATAATGGTTTCATCGGACGCTACCGACAGATGAAGAGATTTTTTCTGCGTGTCGCAGAAGTACTGCTCTTCAGAACCACTTATTGATTAGACGCACTTCAGGGGGGAGGGGGGAGGGAGGGTCTTTTCATTTTTTTGTTTGTTTAATTTGAAAGATATATTTTTTTTATGAAAATAGCAGTGCAGAAAAAAAATACTGCGTCCTGTGCATGCGTAATAAGGAAATGAACCACAAAATTAAGTTGCAAAATAATACGAGACACTGTTACCAGTAGAAAGGGAAGAGTTGTTATTGACGGATTTAGAGACTGTGAAAGATTGACAAGTGAACACCATAACTACCAGAAAACAAGATGTGGATAACAACTTAAAAGAGCTAATCAGCATCAGTGGATAAGAGCACTGCTTGAACTTTGAACAGGCTAGAATGTATATCACACAGTACAGTGAACAGGAAAGTACAGTGAACAGGAAAGTACACTGATAGAAGGTTACATGGAGTGGAGTCAGTTGAGCCAAAGATGGTGGTACACGGGTCATGATTGGCTTTCGATGGACAAATGGAAGAATGTTTGTGGGGTATGTCAGTATGGGCAAAGCAGAAAAATGGCCAAGGAACGTTGTACATGGGTTATGATGTGCTTTCGATGGAGGGAAGGTTGTTGAGGATAAACAAGGTAGAAAAGATGGCCAAGGAATGTTGTACATGGGTCATGATTGGCTTTCGATGGAGGGAAGGTTGTAGAGGATGGGAAAAGTAGAAAAAATGGCCGAGGAACGTTGTACATGGGTTATGATTGGCTTTCGATGGAGGGAAGGTTGTAGAGGATGNAAGTTGATTGTTTCTTGTTATCGTTGTGTAATTTAGGAAGAGAGGAATCAAACTGAAAGGCAGACGAGGTAGGTTTCCATTTTCGTAAATCTCTTGATTTAAGAAGCTGACTAAACGGGAAATACACTCTTCCACGTTATCAATTACGCCTTTACAAGTTCGATACGGATTCACTATTCCTCATCTCTATTGACCGCTTTGAGTCACAAAGGACTTAGAAAGTTCCTTCACGTATCACTAATTGAAGCAAGATCTAAAAATGCTGATTACAGATCTTCAAAGCACTGACGAAAGAGAGGGCCATATTGGCCATGACGTCACAAACTGACCATGACGTCACATACTGGCCATGGCGTCACATGCCTGCCATGTCGTCATATAGCGGTCACACAATGGCATGATGTTGTGTGTTTTATCATACATGTACTAACATACTAACTTACTAACATCAAACTAGGAATACAAGTGGGTCAAAATCTTAAAACTGTAATGGGATATTTTATATTTCTTCACAGAAAGCTTGGTGAAGCTCAAAATGAAGTTGGTAGACTGCATAAGGAAGTTGCACAACTTCACAGTACAGTGAACAACCTTGAGAGTCAAGTTATATCTCTGAACTTTGAGAAAACGGATCTCGAAGATGATAACGTCAAACAACAACTTCACATAAAACTCCAAGGGAGAATTATTAACAAGGTGCGTGAAGAAATTTTGTTAAATTCAATTCAACAAGGGACAAAATAATAATAATAACAATAATAATAATAATAATAATAATAATAATAATAATAACAGTGATGATGATAGTACTACTAATAACAATTAACTTATATTGCGCAGATATCAATTTAACATTTTCAGCTGCGCATTACAATGTGACATAGAGCGGTTTTCAATTGAGTCTCGAAAAGTAATTGGTTTTGCATTTACTACGCTGGACGATTGGCTTGAAAAACTCGCGCCGCTTTTTCTTCTAATCTGAAGGAGAACCAAAACCAGTTGTGACTACCTCGCACGCGTTTTCCCGCTCTTTGCGTCAGCTACATATAATTACTTGGAATTGATTGGTTCATTGGATTGTCTGTGTCCTTTATGATTGGCTAGAGTGATTACTTTGGTTTGGGTTTTACGATACTCAATTAAAAAGCGCTTTAACGCTAACACAAACATGGCAACTAAAACAGTTTAACAAAACTTTGCTGTACATTCGTCTTGTTTATTAATGAACTGTATCTAATTTAGTATAAACATTTTCCTCAGTCTGTTTCATACACTTTCTTTATTTCTCTTTGGGAGAAGTTGGTCTTCTGTCAAAAAGTTCTCTCGTGGTGGTCAGACACTATTTAGTGTTCCTATATTTACTTTTTTCGTAGAACTGATTCACCCTTTTATTATTCTAGTAATTATTAAACTTTTATTTATTTCTGTCGTCTTAACTTATTTTTCATGTTTCTTTTTAAGATGACAAGCGATATGTGCTCGGTGGCAGTGTAAGTTCAAATACACTACTTGTTTCAACATGATAGTCAAGTAAAACCAACTTGTTTTAAACAATATCTTTCGAATGACTTTAAAATCGTGCTTGTGAATAAAGACGTATCGGTTAGAACCCATTAAGTCCAAAAATGAAAACAAACATTTGAATCACTACTAAATATGTTTCAAGTTATGTTTAGACGGGCGTGTTCGACAGATCTCCAAGGTTAAAGGGGCTAGGTCACAATATTTTAGTTAATTTTGTTAATTATGAGCTCTAAATGTCAAATTGGCAGAGCAAAATCACGGCCACATAACAACTGAGAGTGATTTTCCAGCTGTGTAAATAACATTTTGATATAAACTGATATAAATTTGAAAAAAGGTGGGTCGGCGTTTTTCAAATTTACCCACATGCAATCCATTTATATCCTCACCAGTTTTGCCCATCCATGTCCCTTCTTGGCTTTCCTGTGTTTTTGTTTGAGATTTTCTATAGTTTTGAGCCGTTTTTGTGATATTTTAGTTAATTCTATGACCATTTGATCAGTGCTGAAATTGCCTAAAATTGCGTAACCTAGCCCCTTTAACAAGCTTACATCAATATTTTATTTGCTGACTTGTATTCGAAACAGGAGTCCCCAGCATGAATTCATGTCCATCTAGGAAAAGGCGCATTCTAGCCCCAAGAAACGGCAGGTGTTTAGATTCCAGATTGGAATTCACGCCCCGCCTAAGTGGGGTCATTGCTCTGTTTGAGGGCCATCTCCAGGCGTATAAGTGGATAAAGTCTTGTTTTTGCTGGGGGGAGGGAGAGAGCCTGAAAAAATCTGTGGGGGTAACGCTTATCCCTTCTTAGCCTGATGAAACGGATTATTCTGTTTAAGTTGTTAGTTATGAAAGACACCATACTAAGTGTCCCTTTTTGTTATTTTTTTTCTAAACAGTAGATACGAGGAGCAGAAACTAGCTTTGGAAAGCGAGGTAGCTTTACTTCCATTCCTTGCCCATCGTTTTTGCGACTGTAAGAGAGACTGGTTTTTCTTGCTGGGTACTAATTTTTGCGATTTTCGGGAAGTCACGTTTAATTGAAATTTTAAAATAACCCGGCAACGTTTAGAGATGTAAAACACAGTAATCCAGTAATCAGTGTCAGTGTATCACAGTTACATCGTGTTCTGGTGTGGCTGATTGCTCCGGCAATGGATCAGAAATTACATTTTATCGTTTTGCTTCTGAACGAAAGAGACGTTTTAAATAAAGGACAGCAACAAGATTCTTCAAGGGATCATGTTTGTATTTATAATTTCGCCAGTGGAGTAAATTTTGCGGTGGAAATTTTTGCGGGGATTTTTTTGCAAGAACTTTTGTTTTTGCGGATCGTGGAAAAAAAAAAACGCAAAAATCGCAAAAATTAGAACCCGCAAAAATGTTAGTGCCACACGGTAGGTTTCCATGCTAGTTTACAATGTGCGTATTTAAGAATAACATTTTCCATACTTTCAAATTCTAGCTCAGTGATTACAAGCTCTCTGTGAATGATTGCAAGCTCTCCCTCGAGGAAGCTGAGACAAAGTAAGTACAGACAAACTAAGCTGACTTCTTTTCGATTCCATTACGATATAATCATGGGCCAGGACAGAAAAGCAGTTATTGAAAAAAATTGTGAAGGGCTTTTTGTGTGAGATTTACATAGCGTTTCGAAGGGTTTTAGTGGTAGCCTGACAAGCGTTTTTTCCACTAGTGATAGAATCTTAGTAATTGTAATGCTCTTTGTTCCAGCCTAAAAAATACCAAGAAGAACAACAAGCTCATTGTTAAACGCCTTAAGACTTTCAAAGCAAGGTGCAATAGGAGAGGCAAAATTATCAAGGTAAATCATATGTTTGCTGATAGACAAACGCACAATTTGTCCGTCGTCCTCCTGTCTTAAGCTTTGAACTCCGAGTAAGCCTCGTTCTCGGCTAGCTTGAAAGAGGTGATATCTAGTATGTGGCTAACACTAGACCGCAAAAAGATTTCTATCGATTCTCTGCATTGTTACTTGAAGTAATATGTGACGGCCTGTTCAGAGCATGCGTACATTTAGACCAGTTCAATTAAAGAATCCGTGCTGATGCCTCTTATCGCATGTTGTCAGTCTTCAACTCAAGTCAAAGTGTGATTGAATATAATGGGTCTGTAAAGAGAATTCACATCTTTTTAACAATTAACATCTTTTTACCTTTTTTTCAGGCTGACAAGGAAACTAAAGTAGAAATGAAAGAGTAAGTACTGACTTTAGTTTGTGGTTTTAAGTTTCAGTAGCGATTCGATATGGACACATGTGCACGTGTCACAAATTCGTAAAGTCCTTAACAATCTTCGAACTCGTCAAAATCCGCTTTTTTTTTTGTTTCCGTTGTTTTCGTATGTAGCACATTCTGTATGTCTCACGCGGGCAGATTTGCGGTGATTTTGTTTTTAAAAATTCATTTTTTGCTAATCCTATATCTGAAGAGGATATGTTTATCTCTATCACAAAGACAGAGTGTCGAGTCATTAAATATACTAACGCTACTGTTCTTATTTTTGTTATTATTATTTTTTTTTTTCAGGAAAGTCGAGACCCTTCAAAAAGAAGTAAGTAGCTTGTATAAAACTGATTATCACTATTTTTATTTTTAATCTCCGTTGGATGATGGTAGTGCGACCATCATACAAACTTGCATCGTTGATTTCATCGGGAAAAATAACCGCTGTTACGATGTGACAAATGTGACAGAATCAAACAGTGCCCTACAGGCGTAAATTTATCTTACAGCACAAAAACGACATGGGCCAAAATCGTTCTCTTCACCAGTGCTACTCGTTTTAAAATGTCCTTGCCACGTGACTAAAAGAAACGGAGGCTCTGGGAACGAGAATATGCCCAAAGCGTTGTACTCAATGTAAAATCCACCCACGGGCGAATTCCGCACAGGAATCCCACCGCGATCTATCGACCAACTAACCATAAAGAAGGAGCACATAAGCCATAAGAAGGAGCTGAAGTTTAGCCAATTCCACCCCATGAACTTTTGCGTCCCCAAGACAAATCTTTGTAGTGTTACGTCATAAGCGTGGGATTTCACGCTGCGAACCGCGATTGGGCGTGACCGTTAAGAGAAGAGAAAGTGACAAGTGATGAGAGAGAGACGAGACACGCTAATCCAGTCACAAAAATAAACTTCTCCCCAGCACATCTCAGGCAAGGAACTTTCCGATAATCTGGTTTTGAGTCAAAAAACTCATCGTTTCTCTCTATTTTTATATTTTTATATTTTTGCAGAACGAGAAACTTCGAAGCGAGCTGAATAATGGTTTCATCGGACGCTACCGACAGATGAAGAGATTTTTTCTGCGTGTCGCAGAAGTACTGCTCTTCAGAACCACTTATTGATTAGACGCACTTCAGGGGGGAGGGGGGAGGGAGGGTCTTTTCATTTTTTTGTTTGTTTAATTTGAAAGATATATTTTTTTTATGAAAATAGCAGTGCAGAAAAAAAATACTGCGTCCTGTGCATGCGTAATAAGGAAATGAACCACAAAATTAAGTTGCAAAATAATACGAGACACTGTTACCAGTAGAAAGGGAAGAGTTGTTATTGACGGATTTAGAGACTGTGAAAGATTGACAAGTGAACACCATAACTACCAGAAAACAAGATGTGGATAACAACTTAAAAGAGCTAATCAGCATCAGTGGATAAGAGCACTGCTTGAACTTTGAACAGGCTAGAATGTATATCACACAGTACAGTGAACAGGAAAGTACAGTGAACAGGAAAGTACACTGATAGAAGGTTACATGGAGTGGAGTCAGTTGAGCCAAAGATGGTGGTACACGGGTCATGATTGGCTTTCGATGGACAAATGGAAGAATGTTTGTGGGGTATGTCAGTATGGGCAAAGCAGAAAAATGGCCAAGGAACGTTGTACATGGGTTATGATGTGCTTTCGATGGAGGGAAGGTTGTTGAGGATAAACAAGGTAGAAAAGATGGCCAAGGAATGTTGTACATGGGTCATGATTGGCTTTCGATGGAGGGAAGGTTGTAGAGGATGGGAAAAGTAGAAAAAATGGCCGAGGAACGTTGTACATGGGTTATGATTGGCTTTCGATGGAGGGAAGGTTGTAGAGGATGGAAAGAATGAAAAAAAAAATGGCCGAGGAACGTCGTACATGGGTTTTGATTGGCTTTCGATGGAGGGAAGGTTGTACAGGATGGACGGAGTTAAAAAAATGGCCGAGGAACGCTGTACATGGGTTACGATTGGCTTTCGATGGAGGGAAGGTTGTAGAGGATGGATAGAGTAAAAAAAATGGCTGAGGAACGTTGTACATGGGTTATGATTGGCTTTATTCGATGGAAGGAAGATTGTAGAGGATAGACAATAAAAAAATGGCCGAGGAACGTTGTACATGGGTTACGATTGGCTTTCGATGGAGGGAAGGTTGTAGAGGATGGATAGAGTAAAAAAAATGGCCGAGGAATGTTGTACATGGGTTATGACTGGCTTTCGATGGAGGGAAGGTTGTAGAGAATGGATAGAGTAGAAAAATGGCCGAGGAATGTTGTACGTGGGTCATGATTGGCTTTCGATGGAGGAAAGAAAGGAATGTTTGTAGAGTATGGTCGGGAGGGATAAGATAATGTTAATTTGCGGAGCATGGCCACGTGGCCATGTTTCGCAAACTTTGGCTTTAGAACTTTACAACCATCTTTGGCTATTTATCTACTTTGCCTGTGAGCAAGGTAAATAAATAGCTAAAGATGGATGTACAAGGATCTTGATAGGTGTTGGTTGGCCGAGGAATGGAAGAATATGTTCCTGGGAGACGGCAAGGTAAAGAACTGTTTGAAGGTGGAAAATCACAGCGACGCATGAACAATACAATGATCTGACGGATCTGCTGATGCAGTTCACGGTGTTCAACTGGCAGCTGTTGACAAAGTTCTGAAAAGTCAGTGGACTGAAATGAACAAAGTTTGGACGAGAAAGAATGAAGTTTGATACAGAGTATCAAGAAAGACTGGTAACAAAACGAAGTGATTCATTTAACTCTTTCATAAAGAAATTTAATATGACTGGAAATTTTAGTTTTTATTACTTTTATTTATTTTTGAGATTTGAGCTATATTAAAATGGACAATTTTGTGTATTAGTGTGTGTGTTCCGTTTGTGTTCAGTTTCCTCTCGACCACTACCGGTAAGTCCTTTAAAAGGAGCAAGTCATATAAGCTTAAAGTGCATGTGAAAAAATATAGCCCGCGTTTTTCGCAGTTTTCGTTAGCCTGCGAAAGCAGAGCGTTTATGGGGAAAAGTGCGCACGCGATACACGAGCAGCAGCGAGCGTGGAGTGCGAGAGTGAGCAGGAGTGAGCGTGGAGTGCGAGAAAAAAAGGTAACTCGCCTTCGTGTGCTGTAACCGCCTTCGTCCGTAATCCGTCTTACGTCACACGATAGTCCGTCATTTTGAAAATCTTGAGAGGAATTGGTTTCCTATGGAAGTTTACGGACTTACATACTTACTGACACCACGTTATTGTTTTTAAGTAAGTTGAGAACGTCCACAGATTCTCTGAGCTCCGTTGCACTGAACTGTTGTTAAAATACAGCTTTCCCTGTGTAACACACAGGTTAATCAGTTTTCTCCCGACACCAACAGTTCCTTCTTCAGTTGGTCCTAATACATAGAGATTTGCTTCCACCCAGGGGACTGGGGTGAGTACTTATACAGTCTGACTATACAGAGGGCTTCCCCTGCAAGGCAGTGTGTTCTTCAACCTGGAGGTATACAGCCTTCTTGAATCTTCCGATCGAGCCTAGTGGCCCATCAGGCAGATGCCCCTGGTGAGGGACTCCCATATGAAAAGGTCGAAGATGCTCGTCGTCTCGCTTAGGGGTAGAAATCAAGGAGTCTGGTCTCACTTAGGGTGTTTATGACGAAATGCCACTATGTTTTAGCTGTGAAAGTACATTTTAGGGTGCACTCGAGGAAAAATAATGACAAAACGCTCTCATTTCTGTTTTTAGGCTCGATTCCCGCGCGCGGCATCATGAGTCGGTCTATTGGCGCTGTCTCCTTTCCTGAACAGCGGCTGGTACACCTCGAGCCTATTACGTTTTAAGTGATATCTTTTAGGGGGTGAATAAAGCTTGAGCCACACCCAAATTGGTCTCCTTTCAGGGGTCAATTCAAATTTTGTGGCGAGCATCCCCGACCTTTTGATATGGGATTCCCCCCCCGGGCTGGTGCTTATCTCAGGTTTCCATAACATGAAACGACCAGTAGTATTTTTATACCTCCCTACCCCCCCTGATGGGATAATATTCCTCATCGGGTTACCCCCTGCATTAATTTTGCTGGTATTCATATAAATGGATGGACAGTGAAGTGTCCTGCCCAAAAGGGATACCACAGGTCAAGAAATAAATGGTTAGGGAAAAAAAATTCTTCATGATCAGGGAAAAGTCAGAGAATGTTATTTCAGTAAAAGTTAGAAAATTAGAAATGATAATATCATCAAGTAATATACAGTCAGATGCATACATATAGTACATTATTTATATAAAATCATTTACATTAAGAACTTTTTTGCACTTAACTCTTTGGAGCAAAACATTCTCTCAGTTACAAATCATGCTCACCAAAAGATATGTTACTTGACTCTTTGTATAAAAGACATATTATGCCATTTACACCAAAATTATACATGCATTTTACCAGTGATACTAATAAGTCATCCTCTAGCAAAGAATATTACTTTACCAAGTTCAGTAGCCTACATGTAGACCTAAGGTATGATATATTTACTCAAACCTCAGCTTACGACAATGATTTTATCATACATGTACACTTTACAAATTATTGCAGCTTTATTTAAATGTTATTAGAGCATATTACAGTTACATCTTGACTGACAGAGACAGCTAGGAAGGGGACAGAACTTTCATATATAGGCTATCTATACTGCTATGAAAACCACTGGCTTTGAAATAGCATTATTACATGTGATTTTCTGCTCAGTTAAATTCTGAAACCACAACTTTTTCACAGTACTATTTGTACTAAGAAAAGAAAATTATTTACCCCAGATGTACAGTCCCCTTGCCCCCTAATATGGGAGGGGGGGGGGGGAGTTTGTATAAAAGTGATAGAAGTGATCGTCATGCCTCTCACTGGTAAGAGTTTAATTTTTATTTGCGATAGGAAAGAGTGGTAATTTGTTTCTGCAGAATGTGCAGTCCCAACTGGGAACATCTAAACCCAACCCAAGGAAGGCCATTAAAATCTCAGTGGGAGGATTTGGGCAAAACACCAAAGATTTTTTCAGACAGTCTGAAGTCAAACTAAGTTATCAAAGTGGGGGTGGGGTGGGGGGGAGGGGTGTTAAATCAAACAAAACTGCAGTAAGAGAGGTATGGATATCTTTAGGGAACAAAGCAATTGGTATATCCAATAAGGAATTAACTGAATTTTGGACATATGCCCATGTAACAATGTTTCTTTCAAAATATCCCACCATTTTTAAGGGCCTCCCAACAAAAACCAAGTGAAGTCCACCTTCCCTTGTCCCCTATGCAACGTTAGAGCACAGATATTTGTTCCACAGAGATGTTTAAAATTAGAGTTGAAGGTCAAACGACCAGTATTCTAGATCTTTAAGGATCTTTTGAGGGTAAGGGAATACGTCCATACGTTTGAAACCATATTTCTTGTACAATCCAATTGCTGGCCCTTGCGCACTCGTAGTTGTCAAGACAATCTTCTCAAGTCCTTCTTCTCTGGCATGCTCGATAAGCTGGTCAAGGAGTTTCCTGGCAATTCCCATTTTACGACACGTTGTTGACACTGACATTCTCTGTAGCTCTGCTACACCTGGCTTGTGGGTTTCATTGTGAATGAGTCCAACCATTCCCACAATTTTCCCATTCCACTCGGCCACCCACATGTGCGAGGCTTTGTTTGACATGTAGGACTTGTCAATGTCCAGTAAATCCGTTTTAAGGCAGTCATTAATGAACTTCCAGCACTCAATGTAGACGTCGACATACAAAAGAGCCAACAGAATGATAGAAATAAACACAGAGAGAATGAAGATCCAAAGGGACCACTTAATGGATGCTGCAATTGCAAAGACAGTCACTACAGCTAAATACCACAAGAATCTTGGAAAGACGACATGCGTGACAAGGTTGATGAGTTGCTGCATGCCTTCTGTGAATATCTCTCGGCATTCAACATAATCCGAACTGCGATACGAACGGATTTCCAATCCTTCTATTCTTGGCCTGTGCACTACAGCTCGGACAACACCTTTGCCATCATTGACAGTAAACATATTCTGTTGACAAAGGAATTAAAACTAGGTCATTTGATGCTGCTGAAACACAAATTATGGCTACATTTTCTTTGTGGGAAAAAACCATACACCATACAGGCAGTCTGATTAACTCACACACAATGAGAAAATCCTTGGTCATAATAAGTACTTTTGTGAAGGTGCAGTGCACGCAGTACCCCGGTTCAAGCCTTGGCATGGGTCATTGCATTGTATTCTTGGGCAAGACACTTTACTCTCACTTATAAGTACCTCTCTGCCCAGGTGTATAAATGGGTACCGGCAAATTTAATGCTCGGATAAGCCTGTAATAGACTAGCACCCCATCAAGGGCAGAGTACATGTAGAAATACTCCTAGTCGCTTCATGCTACAAAAACTGGAGATAAGTGCCTGCCTGATGGGCCACTGGACTGGAATGCAGACTTAACCTCACATCTCATTTTGTCCTGCATGATTATTGAATAGCATGCGCTAATAGATTAGCTGGCAGGTCTCCATTTAAAACCTGCATTTGTTAGACTAAACTGTAATTTACTGTAACTAGACAATTTATTTTTAAGCATTCCTGAGTGGTTGACGTGTTTATATGAATAGAACTTGAAGGGCACTGTGTTTTGACCCCCTGTGGACAAGCTGAAAGTTCAAAAATATATGTACAAAGGATTTTTTTTAATAAAAGGAAAACAAAAGTATGATTTAAATGTTGCTGGAGTTTTCAGGTCCTTAAGATCATTGGTGACGGATATCAGATGACATGGCATTCTGTTCACTCCAATTAGCTACGCTTATATTGTTACTTCAGAGTATAACAGACATACATGTAATTCCATTCTATTGTTTACACAAAGTAAATCACAACACTTTCGAATAGTGCAGTAGTAATTGATGTAGATCTTGCTACATTTTCCTTCTGCATTCTTTTTATAGATATTAGATATTATGTGGTTTAATCTATCCAAACAACTGGAATTAATAGAGCACCTTGTTATTCGTACAATGGCCAAGTTTACAAATCTGAGCTTAAAAAAATTACACAGCGTAAATATGGCTCACTAATTATTAGTGAGGTAATTTTTCAAACATATATATGCTGGAGAATCCAAATGTATTTATAAACTGACTGTGCATTGATTATGAAGCAATCAACAAATTTCCACAACTTTGCAAAACTTAATACCCCATGATTTTAAAAGAAAAGAAACAATGAACTTCTAGACATCTTGCTTTTACAGCTCAGTTATATAACATATGACACACTTTTGCTCAAGTGCCAATATTAACAGCTTTAAAAATAATACACACTGGGGAAGGCTCCTTTAAATATGTCGAGCCACTCTAAGGCCTTNATTTTACAGAGCGGAAAATTTTTAAACTTGGCGCACTGTTTTCCATATAAGGTAAAACTCCGACTAATGGCTCATAGTCGGAGTTTTTGAGCCAATCAGAGAGCTAGAAATGCAATAGTCGGAGCTGAGAATATACTAAAACCAATTAACCTGGATATTTTTCTGGATAATTTGTGGAACAAATCTCATTGTGCTGCATCATTTGTCAGTGGTGGTGACCAGTGAAAGCTATTTTTTCCTGACTGTGGTGAGCTGCTTTTAATAACTGTTGCTACATTGCTCAGTAATCCCATTCATGGATGAACATTCGATATGCAGCCTACAAGGGTATTGTATGCAGATTACTTCTGAACCTTATTTTCCGGCTGGGATTTGCTTGATATGATAAAACTCTTTTAGTTTCCTAAATGGAAAAGTCTGATCATGAAATATTTTTTTCATATTTCCTATTATTCAAGCCAAAATGAAAATATAGCTTTTTTTCCCCGGACTCTACTACTCTCATTTCCGCTAGCGCATCCTCGCTGGCAACTTGCTAGAGTAGACAAATTTGAGGCCAAAACACGGGATAAAACTTAGAATGTTTAAGCAAGCAACCGGAACGATGATCACCACTCGAAATGGAACGAAACAAAAGGTTTTGTTGGTTCTATAAATTCATATATGTTCATGTGGAATCTGGAAAATGATATTTATGTAAGAAAACGCGTAGTTTGCTATTCGATCAAGGCATCACATCTTAAACGGGATCAACGTTCAAGTGACCGGTTGATTAACGACACTAAATTTAGACACAGTGCTTCTGACACATGATAATCATTTCTGAATAATTCCGATAAACAATCGCCTCTTGTTGTCTTCTACCTTGAACGCCAAAGCCTCTCGACAAATTTAAGGTTTTAGCTGCAATCTTAGCAACCGAAAACTTCAAATCCCTACTAGTCCTGGCGAAAAGCAAAGGCAATTATAAATGAAAAAATCGCACGATTAATTGTCCTAGCGTACGAGTTGCCCCCTAAGCGAAGGAAATTCAGTGTTTGGTACTATTTCGGCCATTTACCGGCATCAGTCGAAGCTCAATGCAAACATGTTTTAAAGCGAAATAAACCGCTCAATCAAGCAAAAACAAAAGCAAACACTGTGCCTGCCAGACTAAACACAGCTACATTTAAAAAAAAAAACCTCTCCGATTATACAATGATAGTGTACAAGTTTGTGTACTACGGTGAATTACGCAATTTGTACATTTAGCAAATCACCAACAACGGCTAGCCACAACGAATTTTCTACCTGTATAGCTCTCCAAAAGGGCCCTCAAGTAAATATCAAAGCCAAAGTAGCAACTCACTTTCCAAATGAAGAAATATCAGAGCATCAAATGATCTGTCAAGATTGTCGCTGAAACGCCGGTCCGTGTATTCGAAACTGGTCCACCACCATCGAAGGTTTTCACCACGTTGGCCGGCGATGTTCACAGACGAGTGCAGACAGCTAGCTTCTAGACAAAGCTTTTTAAGGCTTGGCACAGAGCAGCCTGGCTGCACCCTGGCTTAAAAATTTGTAGTTTCCGTTTGAACTCGTCATAGGAGGCGGACAAAGAAGATATAAAGATATGTAAATTGTGTTTACTCATTGATGGACCGCAGACGAGACAGCGTGGGCTCATAGTGGGATGATGAAAACCACATGACGAGTTCTTGTGTTGTTGTCGCAAACCACGAGGGAAAAACGTGACTTAAATCCTATCCAGATTTTCTTACTCTTCGGGTGATAACTTTTGTGGTAAACATGGGTAAAGTCCGATTTTGACGATTTGTTCACATCAAGTCCATCGACGAGACCAAGCGAAGGATCAACATGCCCGGTGCTTGTACTGTTTTAGCCTGATTGAGTCTGTGTGCGTTTGTTGTTTGAGTTTTCAATAGGAATAGACACAATACACCTGTATGGTTGCCTTATGTGAGGAAACCTTTAATAGTAAAATTATCAGCTTTGTAATTTTTTGGCCGAACATTAGCCAGGCCCCGCGAGAAACATGCAGCGATTCCGCGTGTGGTCGCGCTCCGCGCTCGTGTGTCGCGTTTCGTTCTCTGCCCCGCTAATCCGCCTGATCTGCCATCTAGACCAACTACACCGTTAACGAGATGAAACCGTTCCTCCCGTTACGTAAACATTAACTCTTAAGCCAAAAATGACAACACAGCTCAACACTTCCCGGGAAGGGGAGCGGGGGGGTAGTCTCCTTCGCAGCCGTTGTTAGGGTCGTCACGCAACGCTTCTCCCCCACTGTTGCATGACGACCCTAATAACGGCTGCGGAGGAAACTAGGGGGGGGGGGGGCTCCCATATAATAAGGACGGGGTGCTTTTCGTTCCTTTTAGGGGTTAAGAACGCGGTTTTAGTACCTCTTAGGGTGTTTAGCCTCAAAATGTCCACAGCGGGAGCTTTTGGCGCTTTCAGGGTATTGAGCCGAACAAAATATGACAGGAGATAATCTAATACTTTAGAATTGGTTTTTCTTTTCAAGCCACGCCCACAAAACAGGATCTTGGTACCTTTTAGGGGTTCTTTTCAAAATTTTCGACAAGCACCCCCGTCCTTTTAATTTTTATATGGGAGTTCCTCCGGGAGCCCTTAGCTACAAAATGTTAAAATCGTTATTTGAAGGAATTGTAGCCAGAATTCTAAAACAAAAAACAATAAGAAGTGATCAATAGTTGATTCAGCCTAAGCAGCTTAACATCTTTTTTTAAGACTATACCTTACGAATATCGAGGCTGAAATTTGCGGAATTTTAAGAATATTTTAGGAATACACCCGAGAATGAGATTTTGCAAGTGATAAAATTTTGAGAGTCGAAAATTGTACATACAATACAATTGCATTTTTTTAACGAAACCGTATAAAATTCTTCCTTTCTCTCAACGTCAAAACCAGGCGTCAAAGAAAGAAAAAAAAAAAAAGAGGTTATGTGTGTCATATCAGGATTTATGGCCTGCAGTCTGGTAGTCTGAATTTAAGCCGTCTCTTCCCTCTACCCCGAAGGGCGCCCCCTCTGGGTAAAGGGAAGAGACAGCTGAAATTCAGACTAGCAGTCTGTCCCCAAAACTTCTTCAACACCATCAATTTACATAGCCTAAACCGGAAACGTCAAAAATTGGCAGAAAAATAAGAATATACAGCCTGGGCCAGAAAAACAATATTCTTACAAAAAAACAAAAAGAGTATATCACCTCTCGAAATCTTGAGCTCATAAGAGTAGAGAAGGGATCGTGCTTTTAAAGCTCTATATATTTTTTTAGGCCCATGTATGCCTGAACGAGTAGAGCATTGCGTCCTTCTTATACTCTCTGTCAAGCCTGCGTAGCTGGCGGGATTTCGCCCGCGCGAGCATTTTTTTGGCGGCGGCGGCGCGCGTCAACGCGAGTGGCTAAGACGCGAGGAGATTGGTGAAGAGCAGAGTTGACTTCGCCTCTCGCGACTCACTTGCAGGCCGCAGGGAGAGAATAAAACTGATGGCGTTACCGCTTCCAAAAACCACTCGCTCGCGAATCCCGCCAGTTAGGCAGGCTATCTCTAACCTGGTCATGGAGTTAAAAAGAACAAAGCGGCTGGGTGTCAGCTAGTCTTCTACACAGACGCTCTTTGTGTGACGAGCCCTAAGAGCGTCTGCGTTGCTAGGAAGCTAGGTGTCAGCCAAACGATTGCCACGGTTTTTCTGGTGCTAATGTCGATAGTGGCTCTCATATGCATGGCTAACACCTTGAAGACTGGTTAGGTGACATGTTCCCCTCACATAAATTCGACCATCTTTTCTTTCGACGCAGGGACGGTCATCCGAGGAGAAAAAAAAATTATGCGCCTTACTGAAGAATACAAAAGCAAAAATCGACACAACGTAGGATGATTTTTTGAAGGTGTGCTATATTTCGGCTGGCCAAACCAGCCTTCTTCAGGTACAATGGAAAATTTTACATTGGTACGTGTTTTTATGTAGCCGATATTTACGTAATACCGGAAATACGCAAAAGTAATTGATAGTGTAAATTAAAGACGAGCATACGGTAAAATAAAGTAACATGATAAAAGAACATAATAAAAGAAAACAAATGGAAACAATTACTATGTTTTTTCGCGGATGTTCAGACCATTAGGACCAATTGTTCTGCCTTTTTGAATTAAAAAAGCTTCCCTGGCCTTACGGATAGAGTCTCGTTTAGAAACGATTTTTTCGATGGGGATTAATCGCATGTCGTTAGCGGTGTGGTTAGGAGAGGACAGGAAATGTTCGGCGGCTGTAGTAGGTTTAGATTTGTTGTTAGGGTTTGCACCTTACTGCAGCCTGTGTAGTCCAGTTTTCGACATTTTCGAGCTGCCCATTTGCCTCTTTGTCAAAACGAGTCTTCGTGCGAAACCGTTGTTATGGAAATGCGTTTCATCCAAAACTAGGACCCGCGCTATATAAGGAGCCTTGGACTGGGCGAGCAGTCAGTCATTTCACTCTAGACACGGAGCTG